AATTTTCCCTGTCCCATCCATACCCTGTTTCTGGTGAATTACAAGTATCTCATACTTTTTTAGTCATTAATGCAATCTATGAATTTAATTTTGATGGTGTAGCAGGTGTTACTTTTGACTCTTGGTTTAAGAAATATAAAGATTTGTTCCATATTGATCTCTGCAGACTAGATCACGTCTCAAAAGTCAAAATACCTCGAAGAAAACTTGGGACGACGGAATGTGAACGCTATAGTAACTTTATTTTGCCGAAGAACTCACGATACTTTGATCTAACGAATAAAACCCTGTTTAGATCTTTGGAGAACAGTCATATCTATTTAGCATCCGTTATCAATGCTTGAAGATAACGAGAGAACCAGATGATTGGGTGAAACATTCAGGTATTGTAGACCGAAAATGTGAGAGGTTCAAGTTGTCTTCTATGACAGAAGACCAGTTTAAATGGCTAGTATTTGTCTATAGCCTGCGTTCACCCGAGGATGCTAACATCTGAACGAGAATTCTAAGCAAGCTCGAACATCGCCTCAGCATGACCCTACAGGGAGTAATCACCGAATACCAAACGTTAGTGAAGCTTGATACATCAGTGGTAGGTAGAGAACGGTAACCGGTTCCTTCACACTAACGCAGTCAAGAGAAGAGTCTTATGAAGTTCTAGCACGCAGAATTATCGTAGTGACAGTGGCAAATCATCATTCCCATGCAGGTTGTGGCGGTTCGCATATCAAAAGGTCTTGTCCGTGTGAAAATCATCGTTGTACTACGTGTTCCTGAAAATGGCACAAAGAAAGTCATTGCAACACCCGCAAATGTCGTCTACCGAAAGTACATTCTAAAAGATTCAAGCTGCGAACATCTAAAGTAGCTATTAACAGAACCAGCTCCCATAACCGTACGAAGTATGTTTCTCTCAAGATTAATGGGTATGATGCCCGCTTACAGTTAGACACCGATTCCGATATAACACTTATAAGCAGAAATACGTGGGGGGAAAAAGGGCGACCGCGAATATATTTAACTCATCAATCAGGACATAGTGCATCCCAGGGAAATTCTAAACATTGCTGGTGAGATTCATAGTGAAGTCTCAGTCAAAGAGTCTACGGAGAAGAGAGTAATATTTATCACAGAACGTCCATCACTCGGCTTATTGGGGCTTGATTGGATAGAAAGGTTGAAGCTAACAGATTGCCCCATAAACTCGGTCTGTAATAATGTCAGTACGTAGAAAGTTGAGGAGAGAAACTCAGTTGAAATGTTATCGAAACTACATAACATGGTATTTGGTGAGGGTCTTGGAGAATGCACTAAATTTAAAGCTGCTCTTACCTTTCCCTAGGGATCAAAGGCTGTATTTCAACCTAAAAGACCTTTACCATATGCTGCCCTCTCAGTGGTTGAACATGAGCTCGGACGACTTCATAAATTGATTGTCGTTGAACCGGTGAATTTCTCAGAATGGGCTGTACCGTTAGTGGGGGTGAAGAAGACTAATGGTAGTGTCCGTTGATGTGCCGATTGCTCAACGGGCTAAATGAAGCCCTAGAAACTCATCAGTATCCATTACCCCTGCTTGAAGATCTTTTTGCTAAACTCAGTGGAGGTGAGCTCTTTACAAAGCTGAATTTGTCGGAAGCTTATTTACAAATTCCTGTTCCTGATGAATGTAAAAAGCTGCTCACCATAAACACACACAAAGGCCTATTCCAGTATAACCGACTACCTTTCGGAGTCAAGACGGCCCCATCCATATTTTAGCAAGTAATGGATGCTATGTTCCAGGTGCTGCAGCTTATCTGGATCATATAATAATTATGGGAGTAAATAGAATAGATTTAGAAAAGAAGCTCGACCAGGTGCTGTCGTGAATAGCAGAATATGGACTTCGGCTCCGTCCAGAGAAATGTAACTTTTGTATGCAAAATGTACGCTACCTCTGATTTATAATCGACCAAGTTGGCAAAAGACTAGATCCAGAGAGTACTCAGGCAGTGAAAACTGTGCCTAGACAGACGGGCGTCCCCACACTACGATCCTTTTTGGGACTAATTAGTCATTATGAAGCTTTTATTCATAACCTTCGTCACTTACGTACTCCTTTGAATAACCTTGTGGCGAAGAATGTAAAACGGGATTAGTCTGCAAACTGCCAAGTTGCTTTCGAGGTAATCAAGAAAATACTAGTCTCGGATCTGTTGCTCACTCATTGTGATCCATCTTTACCCATTGTATTAGCATCAGATGCTTCGAACTACGGCATAGGAGCAAATATTTCTCACATCATGCCAGATGGATCTGAGAAAGCCATATCACATGCGGCCAGATCGTCAACTACAGTCAGATCGAGAACGTAGGATTGTCGATTATCTTCGCTGTAAAGGCGTTTCACAAGATGATATTTGCACGCCAGTTCACACTATTAATTGACCATAAACCATCGCTAGCCATTTTGGGTCGAAGTTATCCCGGTATACACAGCAAACAGACTGCAACGGTGGAAAACTACACTCTTGGGTTATGACTTCAAGATCAAGTACCAGCCCACTACTGATTTTGGACAAGCTGATATTTTGTCTAGACTGATTGGTTCACAAGTAAAACTGGAAGAAGATACGTTAGTGGCAGCAACTGACACGGAAACAAAAGTGCATCAAGTATTGGAAGACACAGTCGGTGGTGTACCAGTTTCAAAATTATCAAAGAAGTCACGGGAATGACATGATATTAAGAGAAGTTAGTGGTTACGTTCTCACTAAGTAGCCGAACCGTCTTTTTCGAAGAGAAGTGCTGCAGTATTTTCGCCGGCGGGACTCACTCATGATGGTTGATCCATGTGACAGAATTTTTGTTCCAAAAATATTATGCCACAAGGTTCTGAGACAATTCCACAGAAGTCATCCTGGCATCAATATGATGAAAGTGTTTTCTCGAAACTATGCTTACTAGCCTACAATGGATCAAAATATCGAAACCAGGTGCCGCAATTGTTCGTTGTGCTTGCAAGCAGCTAAAAGTCAAAAGAAGTGTGTCACAACAATGGGAAAAACATAATAGTCTCTGGGAGAGGCTGCACGCAGATTTTGCCAGCCCAATACGAGGAAGAATGTTTCTAGTCACAGTGGACGCACCCACAAAATGGCTACAAATCTATGTCATGGCTAATTGCACAACCAGTGAAACAGTCTGCAAGTTATCTGAACTATTTATTTGCTTTGGAGTTCCGGAGACTAGTGACCGATAATGGCTCACAATTCACTGCAGAATCATTCAAGCCCTTCTGCAACATTAATGGAATTGTACATATACGCTCTCCATCCTATCACATTCAATCTAATGAATAGGCAGAGAGCTTCGTGGACACACTCAAAAGATCACTACTGAAAGGGGAAGGCGAGGAGACAAGCCAGGTAATTACGAAATTCTTAGCAATTTATAAAACTACGCCTAACCCTATCGTCCCAGAAGGGAAGTCCCCTGCTGAAGCAATGTTCGTAAGAAGTATCCAATCTATATTCGACGCCATGTTGCCACTTAAACCAATGGATGTGCTCAGACAAGATCAGAATATCCGAAATTTTAACGTGGATGGTAAAAGTAGTCGTCAAGTCATACATTAGAAAAAGTCTCTGGGAACCGGTAGTCATTAAAAAGAGATTGGGAAATGTTTTGTACAAAGTGCATGGGATTTTCGCGACGTGAATTAGACACATCAATCGTTTGCAATGACGCAGGTGCATACACTCTTTGTGTTCTCCCAAATTTTGATCTCCTTATTCCTCCTTGTCTCTTTATTTATCTCTTCCCAAATTTATTTCACTGGATTATACTCTTTAAATAACATCTTCAAACACTAATCTTCCCGATTACTGCTTATACTCTTATTACCTCTACCACTACGGGATTTGAATCGACTACTACATCTCTGTGTTAATGTGGTGTAGCAACTCGAACTGCTGTGCGTACGTACGAAGTTCTACGTTGTTACTGACTGACTGATTGACATCAATCAAATACACAGAGAAAAAAGGACGCTAAACACTGTAGATAGTCGAAGAAGAAGACTTATCACTACCTGACGAAAGGTTCGAACATGTTTACAAGAAACCAGGAATAGCATTTCGTGAACTAAAATCATTAGTATTGGTGGCCCTCGCGCGTCGTAATAACTCAATGTGGCAGTTCCTACTGGAACTCATACCATTTCAGACAGCCTGGTTAGGCAGGAGTAATGCTTAATGCAGCAGATCGAGGTCTTGTTGCAGAGTGTACGGGAATCCGACGGCAATAAATCCTGTTCTTAAGACATTTACGAACTGCTATTACAAACCTGAAAGCGCTCTCTAAACTGCAGTTTTAAGCGTTTAGAGACCGAACCTTGTACCAAGTCGAACAATAGGATTTTTTGGCAAAGACTGTAATCTCTAGGCTTTTGATGTAAGCTATGTCACCGGGATACACATAGGTTCTATTTTGATCAATAGTGTGACAATCTAGCCAGTATAGAGAGGTACCGCTAATGAAAGCAAGATATATGGAAAAGACAATTGTGATAGGTAATACTGGGCAACTATACCGACTCATCAAGGAAACGGCTTATAAAAAATCAATAGTTAGTGAGATTGAAGAAGATAGAGCCATGATCTACTCTCAGTTCAAGAGATTATAACGATGAACAGAACACTAACGATCAGTTCAACGGAACTTCAGTTACCCATTATTTCCAAGCAACCAGAATGGGGAGTTGACACGTGCTGAAACGTCTAGCTAGGCCAAAAGAATTCGTATAGAGTTTGAAAAGACATAGCAGGATCCATTGGGTTTTGAAAATTTATTTTATTGAAGAGTACTTTAGTTTTAGCAGTTATGTTTCCTACTATATTTTCTAGAGTTTGGTAGTCGAATGAATTCCATTGTACTTCTATGAGATCGAATTATTGCATTACATATTTCTTATGATCAATAGGTTATTGCTACATTTGTCATATTCATTATTATAGGCTCAGCTTTTGGAGAATTCAGCGAAAGGAGATCAAGATTGTGTTTTGTTGTTGGATTCATTTGACGGTCGAGATCGTATTGCGATACATCTGGCAAATGCATTACTGATAGCTAATAAAAATTTATCAACTATCGACTCGTCAAGTCCTTCTGCTCCTACCTGGGTAGTATGGGTTCTACCCAAAACAGATAGTTCCTTAGCTAACTCGATCTCTGTATTTGGATCTCAGTAAGTGTGTTTCTAAAAGTATCTCAGTGTGAATTCCGTAGTAATATTTTGAATGGTATTCTTATTTTGGAAAGATAGGTATCTACAATTGGGAATGTAAAACTATGAATCTTATAAAAGTGTGAGATATTTTCTGCCTACTATAAATGTCAGCAAGTATTTCTTTAGTGTTGGTGGCTTAATGGTGACCCCCGAAATGACATGGTGCGGCCGAGGTTAAGAAGAGTTAGCTCCACCTCTCCAAATGCTCTCACATGGCTCGCGTTTACAGCCACTACCAGGGAACTCCTACTCGGTAACGAGGTTGTTGATCACTAAGTTGAGAGTACACAAAGCGAATGTCCGGCGCTTTAACCGGGTTGACGGAGATTGAGGTTTTACCTGCATCTGTTTAAGCGCCCGGACAGTATTATAACCCACACGCAGATCAAGTCACTTATGTAGACATATGAATTCGTTGCTTCTTATTACCAACATCTACGTGTTCAAATAAATAATAATAAATGTGTTAACTAGTTTTAACTCTGCTTAATGTCGAGAATGAAGGATTTTCTTCATTCCGAATCTTGTCTTTCTAAATTTAATTCTGTGGTTCATAATTTTGTGTGCAGCGTGTTGTTGATGAAACCTTCTTACTTACCTTTTGACGAATTATTTAGTTTGATTATTGTGCTTCTTGTGTCAGTACTTGGTGAAAACACTGATTGTATTCCTATTCCAATTTCTAATTTGAAGACTTAATTCTTACTACTCACACTAATCGATAACCCTGTTATGAAACTTGTAAATTGTTAAAGTTTTTCACTGTCTCTAATGTGGCTTACAGGTTATCCATGAATTAATTTTGGCCATAGATTCAGCAATCTCTCGATCTTTGTTCCGTTCTCCTATTCCATGTCATCTATGGTGCTTTTTTCCTTAGTGTTATGTAACTCGTTCTTAGCGTTTTGATCCCATGTCATGATGGTCAAATCCTTTTGACATTTGTCCGGGATAGGTTGCCGTATCACAGTGTCGTGTCATTTCAGTCAAGGTGATTTATAAGCGAATGTACGTAAATTTGTGTGTATGTGTGCAAGATCAGGGATGAAAAAATGTGACCTTTGTGGTGAGAAAGGATAGAGTTTAATTTGTATGTAGGATAATAATGTGAAATATGAATAGTATCAGACATAATAGCTAGGATAGATAGTCCAAGTCGGATGTATAGTGATGCCTTCTTTTCTATTGAGCGCATTAGGATTAAGCATTATATAGAAAGCTTCAGCTACTCTCCTTTCTTTGTAGTTGGAAAAACGTTTTTTGTAATATTTTGGTGTTTTTGAAATCGATTTGATGGTTGTTAAAAATGGCATGAACTGCTATTGTCGATTTAATTTGAAGTTTATACAGCTCTACGAGATTATTAGGTGTTTTCTTCACGTACCTAATATATTTTTTGGCTCGAGTCAAGATTTCACGTGATTACTCTCCAATATAGAAGCCATCACAATCGACAGATCCTAATTTGTAGACTCAGTTCTGTGTTGACATAAATGGGAGTTTTTCTTTTGAGTAAACTAAAGTATTTCGAAGTGTGTTCGTTGTTTTGTAATTTAATTTACTTCTGTGTTGTTTTAAAATTCTTTGGAGTTCTTCTGTTGTACCATGACGGTATGGTAAAACTGCAGTACCAATCCATAGTATTTCATTCGAATTATTATTAAGCAGTGAAACGTCTCGTTTTAATACATTTCTAATAATTTTCCTATGAAAATTATTAAATTTTAAGATGTTAATTACATTCTTTTGTTCTTTTTGTTTATGGTCTTCAATTATGATAATCTCGTTAGCTCTTCTAAAAAGATTTAGGGCTAGTGAGATCTTTGCACTGTATGAATGTGCTAAATTTAAGTCAATATAACGATTTGAGTATGTACCTTCTCGGTAGATGGATAGATTTAGAATTACATTATTTAAATTCACCGAAACACCGTCAAATCAAAAAATTTAGAAAAGGTCAAAGAAGAAAATATATGAAAACGTCAGTAATAAAATCTAGTTCGTTTATAAATCACCTTGACTGAAATGACACGACATTGACTTGTTCAGACCTGTTTTGGATTGATCGCACATTATATTATTGCGTTGTTCCTTTGTGTTATTTAAACTTGGATTAATTTTGACTTGGTTATTTATTCTCTGAGGCAATGGCTTACAATGAGTCACGAAACGTCAGAAAATCTAATTTCTCTGCTCACTGGGATATTACAAATCTATTAATTTATTTAAAAGATTTATCAGTTATACAAGTTATGAATAACTACTAATTATTGATATGCGATGGAGAAGAAAGGGAATTAGTTTTTTCCACTATTTTTATTCTTAATACCACATCCCGATATTCAGTATCATTCAAATACAATGACAAAAGCCATTCGAATTTAATTCTCAAAACTTTGTGTGCTAAATATGTGTAGGTTCTTTCTCTATGACTATTTTTCTAAAAATAATCGTACATTACTACCTTAGTTGTTATATTTTTGCGCAAGTTATTCACCTTTCATCATACTCTTAACTACTCCAATAAAGTCGCGGTCGATTATTTGATAAATTTGGCTAAAGTGATAAGTAATCGATAAATAATACAGAATGATACGATGCCATCATCGGCTAATAACTTCATAGAAAATAATTACCGGCAACCTCTTTCTCTGAATGAACTAACATCGAAAGTTATGGGTTGTTAGCGAAATTAGTTTTCCCTTTATTAATATCGGATGCTTACTTACGAAATATTCAATAAAAATATATAATTATTTAATAATCTTATTTATTTACACCTGTTACTCCTCGTCGATGAGGACAGGCCGCCCACCAGCACTCTCCATCCAACCCTGTCCTGACCAATCCTTTCCAGTTGCTATTTATCGTTTTCTTGTCTGCTTCCAATTCCCGACACAGTGTGTTCTTTAACCTTCCTCTTTTCTGTTTCCTTTGGGATCCGAGGTTAGCGCTTCCCTCATGATGCAGTTTGATGATTTTCATAATGTATGTTCTATCCACTTCCAGCGTCTTTTCCTGATTTCCTCTTCACTTGGAATCTGGTTTGTCCTCTCCTGCAGTACACTGTTCCTGATGGTATCCGGTCAACGTATATTGAGTATCTTGTGTGGACAACTATTTATAAATATTTGTACCTACTTGATGATGGTTGTAGTAGTAGTTCTCTACGTTTCTTCTCCGTACAGTAGGAATGTCTTGCTAAAAAAACGCCAACCAGATTAAATTAATAAGTGGTTGAGAAATATTAGTTTTGTAGATCACCTAGTTAGTAGGACTCTTTGTTTTCTTTTCTCACGTTACATTACCTATAGGAAAAGGTGACATCATCCACATGTGGCGTAGGAATAAATTTCGTTAGAATGACAGGATGAATAGCAGAAAAGAGCAAAATAATATGGTAACAGGGATAATCATCAAGAATGAACATTAGGAATATGGTTCGAGAAAAAATTAGGGAGGTATTAACGAAGGAATACTGGATTTCAAGGTCAAGAAGAAGATAAAGAGTGAATGCATCTTTGCTATTATGAGCTATATCACCCAAAGTCTTCAGCGACTGATCGTGGTTATCATATGCACTTCAAAATTGTCCATATTTATTCTAATTATAAATGTTGCAGTTTTATTTGAATTCATCATTGTAGTAGGACATTATTTAAATTTATTGCATAGAATATTTTCTATTCACTTATTTATATTTTAATTCATTCAATTGTATTTGAATAACATCAAGTAAATTCTACATTTTTATATGTTCATGTTGTATATTAAAGAAAATTTGACCAAGTTTTTATTTTCATTATAGATCAGATAATGACAATAATACATCTCAACGTCCTTTAAAAATTGCTCACTTACCTTGTGATGTAAAAAAATTAACACAAGTTGATTTGATACTTACAACCTCTGGTAGGATTTCTTAGTTTGTTTTGCTTTTGTTACCATGATATTATATTATTGTAATAATAATAGTAATAATAATAATAATAATAATAATAATAATGTTCAATAAATAGCGGTTGGCTCATGAATTGAAACTTCGAGCCACACATTTTTGTATAAACTGGCCAGACATACTGTTTAGTTGTTCTCTCAATTAGAAAAGTAGATGATATTATGGTATTGTTATAATTTCTCTTATTTACGACCCAGTTATTTATGTTGCTTAGTATTCTTGGACACCAATTCACTCGACAAATCCCCAAATCAGAACACGGTTGAACAGGAACGAAATTATATTTCAAATAACAAGGGTATGACTTCGCCCTTGGACTTTTGGTTTGCTACTTTTAGTCTTATCGCTCTTCAACAGACCTTTCTGGACCTTGAGGAACAATTGTCCCAGTATGTATGGCACTGTTGATTTATCATGATAGGTAAGCCTGACCACTCTGTCAAGGTAGCGGAAACGATCGGAATTGTCAGGTTAGGTAAACATTGTAATTTTTACGCGCTATCAAATAAGATATCTTATGATTGCCAACAAGTACAATTCCTTTTTTTCACAATATCAGCAAATATCTTATAAAAAGTTGAAAAAATAAAACTGATAAAAAGCTATTATTCATTATCTGTGACTACAAACTTCTAGATATTCATACATAGAAAATCCATATTTATGTTTTATCTCATCATAGTATTTATTTACTTGAATAAATTTCAATCCGTATTAAAGATGTTAGTTAAGTGGAATTGTACAAAATACTTCCACAATTTAGAATCCAGTCAACACTGAATTTATAATTATTCACGAGAGTACACTTGTCCTATTGATTTTGTCGAAACCATTCACTTCATATTCAGTATTTGCAACAGTTGTTTCAAACTATACAAGGTCAATTATAGTTTCTTTACTCATACGGGTTTGGGTGAACGTCTGCATTTTAGTTCTTTGACTCGAGTCTAATTAGAGTGTGTAGTCGATGGAGACAGCCTTCACTCAATGCAAAAATTAGTATACTCACTTCGTCTCATGTAAAACGGTACATCTAAAAGACAATTCTAAAGGCTGAACAAATCTAAGTGCGATATAGAAATTACTCATGATAGAACTTTAATTGTGTAATATAGTAAAATCCATCTCTTCCAACCGTAGTTTTTCTCCAATCTCCATTATATATGGGATATATCACTATGATCGTGTTTGTTTATATAAAAAATGGAAAAAATGATATTGCGAATAAGCATTTATCAGTGCAAATACAAATCGAAACTCTTTCGGTGAAAACAGTCTATCTATCTAATTTCATATGTACAGCTAACGAGTAAAAATTTATAATAATCTAGTCCTACATGGAGCTCTACAGTTACTCTCTCACAAGTCTGACGTGATAAATATTGTGCATCGTGCAGCTGGTTAACTGTTCCTCTGAGATATCACAGATAAACGCTGTAAAAAAGGTAATCGATTCAGCTCATGAATGTGAAAAACTTCAGGCAGGTTATAATATAGATTTAAAGCATCACTCATATCTCCTACTGTAAAACACGACATTAGGCAAGAGGTGTGTATTTATACAATACATTATACATAGCCTTCAATCTTCCACTTGCATTTTACGGCGTGTTCTGACATCTGAACTGTCTTCTTGTGGGGTTTCCAAGTATCTCGTCCCCACTGTGCTTTCCATGCACTGAAATCCTCCACTTCATTTGACAGTCGTCGCATATTCGACTTCACGTTCCGCTACATACTACTTTCAAACAACCTTGTCAGCAGCGTTCACTACGCCACTAACTACACGAAGGAACGTTTGTTCTAGAATGAATAATAACAAGCACTTCATAAAATTGAATCTAACCAGTTTGTGTGTGTAAAAGGAAGTAATTTATTTATTGAAGGATGCACAATTGTTTTATATACCTATGAAAGTATATATCCATATTAAAGATTATATTTCGTTAAGAGGATGATTGTAATCGTTTTCTCCTCATTAAGTAATGGACATCCTAACTTTCATAACACAAAAAGTTGTGATGCATTCAAGTAAACAAAATATACCTAATAATAAATGAGTTGTATTGTTTTACGTCCCTCTTCAACACAGATTTGTTTGTTGAGCACTTATCAATTCTACTAATGAAACAAGCATTTATTTGTGGCATAATTATTCATGATGTCGATGCAGCGGTAAAAAATGAAGAGTTTTGCAATCTTCTTCATCGTTATCGTCAAGATTACACAAACCAACATAATCGAGGCCGAGTAAGTTGACGAAAAATTACTTAATGATTATCTATTTTGTTTATTTCCCTTAAAAATTAATGATGTAGTTAACTGAATGGTTCCGTAGATAATAATTTGCTGTTTCAGATACAGAATATTCACTTTCCCATTTTCATTGAAAAAAAACCCCACTGAAATGTAAATATATATTTAATTGATTAAAACATGATACAATTTAAGCTCCATTCTATGGGGAAAAAATTAGTCAGTTAGCTACAACGTAGGATCAGGCAGCATATGTGCATCTGTCCAAGTTGCCATACCTCATTAACACAAGATGGGCACCGGATTCATAAAGGTAGTTGTGGTAATATATAAAAGGAAGATTGCAAATAAGGACATAGTACAGGAAGAAATAATTAGTTCGTAGAGAGAAACATATGAAGCGATTTTAATCTCAGTTTAAAGGAAGACAGAGAGTGTATACACATACGCCATTGTGATCGATTCTGAGCCATGTCACCCAGAGTCACGCGGACCCCAATCAAGTAGTCTGCATCTACCAACATGGCTCAGACTTGAAGTTAGTGACTTTTTTATGGAAAAAAATACTCGGAGTTACTTTACATATATATTTGTATGTCAGCATAAACATCTGAAGAAAATGTTACCGCCGTAATTAATAGCCGACCAATTTAGAAGAGTAGGTTATTTGCGATAATCCCTCATCAGCTAGTATTCATTGTCAATCCATTTGTATGCTAATCTGAGTCATCTAACAAGAAGCACAAATCAATTATGTAATTTCGAGTTATCTGAATATTAGTAGTAATGAACGGCCAACAATCAAATTTGGAGTACATTATTCGTTACTAGTTGTCAGTTAATTCATCTATCTTTAATTGCTTTGTAATTTTTTTGCTCTCTATATATTTGTCTGTGTGCGTCGAATAATAGAAATTTGTATCATATATAGACATTATCTTTTCATTTCAATTATTACAGATCATATGTTTTGGTCGAATGAAAGTAGAGGAAGATAGTGTTTTTTCGTCGTTCACACAGTACGGTTAAAAAAAGGCACAAATTCTTAAACAAATGAAATATACATAGAAATGTTAAACAAATTATTTGAATCATAAGAGAATAAATATTTGAAAAATATAGATCTGAACCTCTTTTCAATTTGCTTTTATTTACAAACTATTATCATCAAACAGATACATACTAATTACATTTATTTTCCATTTTCTTTTTTACTTGTTTCCCGGAAAAAATAAAATTGTTAAATATCATTGTTTTCATTTTAATCATGTATAGATTTACTTTTTCTCTCATCTTATTTTAAGTGAATATTATCGAATTTTATATGTGGATTGAATCGCATATTTGTTTATCTGACATATTCCACTTCTGATTGGTGTTATATACTACTTATGTCGATATAAGTAGCATACTCCACAATAATAGTAGTAGTCTTTTGTCAAATGGATAAGGATCAATTATTGGTTGTTCACTGAGTAGACGTGAAAATGTGAAGAAGAAAATAGTTTTTGTAGTAGAAAAAATTTGGGAAGCATTCGATGACCGTGGTTGAATAAATATGAATCTATATTGTTGAACTGCTGAATTTTCAGTTGTGCATTTGATTCTGTTTTGAACGCCTTGTGATATCGATTTATTTGGCTTGGTAGATGGTTCTGATAGAACTGTTTTACTCCAGTGATGACAAATTGTTGTAAAATTAAATTACTGATATTCAATCTGTTAAAGTTAATACTCGAAGAGGGTGTTGAAAAAAGTAGTGTGAGGCTAGTATGATCTCTGCAAGCACAAGTAACATTATAAAAACACATTTGAGCTTATTATGTAAATCTACAGATCAGGTACTGAATATGCGGTAATACGAAAATTAGTTCATGGTTGTAAAATTCTAAGTGCCAACTATGATAAACGTAAAAATGTATAAAGAATAAATAAACAATTGATACTTTATCATAAATTGTTATTACTATCGATTTGTTACTTCATTATCTTTGGTTGTTCACTCATATTTACATCTTTATATTACAAATAACAATGCATACGGATATATTCACCAATGTATTTCGGAAGCATATATTATCTATGGCAGATTAAGAATACTAATTGCAAACAATTTTAAAAAAAGTGGTTAGGATTCTTCAGCAAACAATTGGAGTTAATGTTGCGTCATACCAGTAGAATGTTCAGTACTATGACATAAACAATAATTTTGTTCACTTGCAGTAATTTCTAATTTCATATTCATTGGTTTAGAAGATTCATATCCTGATGTAATTTTACTCATCTAACACCTAAATTACAGTAACCACTTGTGTACATGCTGCGAATATAGACCAGATAGAGGTAATAAGTTGCAGTAATAATTATTTGGCAACGAAACCTAACGTATCGTTACCTTTATGCTTTCCGTTTAGATGGAACCTATAAAACAAACAACTAATACTTATTTTTTTGTAAAATTGTTGCACTCACAACACGAATTTCATGGCAATGCCAGGTTGTTTCGCCTTCCTCAGTCGAGAAACTCGCAACGATTATTCCGTTCTTACATTTCTCCAAACGAGCAATAAGTAAAAGAAGCCTTTTAGGGATCGTGACAGGAGGATGTTATCTCAACAAATTTGGAAGAACTAAGTGGCGTGATCAACAACTTAGACAAAGGTGTTCAAGCTTACGAACTTTACAACGTGTGTTAACAGAACAGACGTTAACTTTTTATTTCAATCTTGATTAAGGACTAAAAAAATATATCCTAATACAAATATGCAAGAGTCTATGATGACTGAACGTATGGTTTAGTTTTTCCGCACAGTATTGCCAATATTGTACATGTTGATGCAGAAGTCGTGAGAGTTTCATCCCGTAGGTAATCTATATTTTCTGGTCATTATCATTATGATATTGTAATTAGTCAAGTGAAAGTACAGTCAGAATGTTTGCTCATATCTAAGGAATACTAGTTTGCATTATGTCTTATAAACATAATCCGTAAATGATCAGTTTAACAATTCAATGAACTGATTGTGTTAGAAACTCGGTTGATAACAAATAATACTAGTTTCTTGAAAGTTGCAACCTAAATCATTTCACATATTATACGCTTCATAATATTCTACTTCTACATTATTAATTTATTGATCACTATTTGACCTTTTACTACATTTTATTGTTTATTATATGGTGTGACTAAAATATTTGGTTAGTATAGAGTTATCCATCAACACTGTGATTTCAACTCATTATGTATCGAAGTAGCTCAAGAAAATTTATTGTTAAACACCAGTGAAATGGTTTCCAGAAAATTTTTGAAAATATCTGACTTTAAAATCATAAATTTCATAAGAATTCCACATCCAATCACAATGCTTCTCGTGGAATTCAACTAATCAGACTTACAACCGATTAAATAGTTATTTTAGTTGAAAAAAGTGTGACCATAGATAAACTGAGCATATATTACAATAGCACTCAAACAGATCACAATTTTTTAACATATGTGGTCATACACTTAAAATTTATCCTTAGTGGTGCATAAACATCCACAATCAGTTTAATGTGAATCAGCCTATCAGATTAAACTGATCATCGAGTTGGTAATGTGATAACCTACACCCTTTGTACATTCATTTGATCGAAAAACAAGAGTATGTTTTACATTTATCATAAAAATAATCTCTTCAACCAAGCACACTAACTATCGTGAAATCTCCTATAAGTCCGCTGAGATTAATCTATGTACAATAGCTAGTGAGGTGACAAAAATGTCAATCTTATAAACTTTCTATTATTATGATTCAGAACTAACGATATAAATGGAGGTCATATTATTTACCTATGTAGATTTGACTCTTTTCTTATTGATTTACCTTCTGAAGAATCTTCATAAGATTCTTAAAAAGTAACACCAATCTGAAATGGAATGCCTGGAAACTGAAGGTTAAACTGAAGAAAACAGAGAGGGAAGCATAAAGTAATTCAGAATTGCAAGAGTCATAAAGGATATAAAAGACAATTGATGGAGGATTTGTAAATGAAGTATTTAATGTATGGTCTTCACATTTTACGAAAGAACCCTGTAATGGCACAGTAGTTGTAGCTCCGTACAGTAGAGCTATCTTGACGTTCGTATTAAAGATCCTCACTGTGATATTGATTGATAGTTGTTTTTAGTTCGATACATTTTTCAACTGTAAGAATCCTGGCTTTACTTTGCTAATTCGTAACTTCACATCTGTATCAGATCTCCTTGTTCCTCAAGGATGCTGACCACATACGTAAAAGTTTTGTACCGCTTTCGGAGCTTGCTCATCAAGTGTGAATTCGCTGGTGTTAACCGATGTTTACAGTTCATTCAACAACAAGAAGAGAAAGGTTGAGAGTAAGCGGCCTTGTCTGACACCAGTTCCCACTTGGAATGCATCTACCAGCTGTCCTCTATGAATGAATCTTCACTGTAGTCCATCGTGTAAGCTCCTCACGATATTGGCAATCTTCTAAGTTATTCTGTAGGGTCATGAAATATCACTTGGCCCTAGCCAAGTCGTTCGGTAATGGGGTCACTGAATGTCGATCAGTCTATCGATCCTCGTCAAGGCCAAAGACAACTGACGCGCACCAGTCAGTTCTACATCATGGCCTGGTCCATGCAACTGTAATCGCGATTCGTTCTTGTGTCTATTCTTACCAACAAATTTCTACCATGACGTTATGTTTTAGTTATACAGTCATCAAAGTGTAGTGACTCACATTTATCACGAGAACACGACTGGTTTAATAAAAACAATCATTAGTATAACCAACTGTACCAGTGTTTGTTTTAATGTGCTTTTGTTTGACTGGGCTAATGACAACTATTTTGTGCTTCCATTCTTTTACTTACACTTTGATTGTAACTTTGCGCGAATTCCGTTACGTTCTGTAACCAAGCTTGTGTCCTGGCACGATCTTGGTATCCTTTCGATACCACGAGATCGCCAGCAAATATATATCTCGATTTGGCCCATTAATTGCCTTCTGATATTTGGCTTCTCGGAGATCTTATGGATTTATTTGGTTACGTTCTACCTTCGCCTTCTGATTAACTTGGCACGTGTTTCTCGGTAGCGGTGTTCATAGTTAATCTCAGCCCGATCACACGCTACAAAAGTATCCATGGCGCCTGGATACGATGAAAGTGTAATCTACGTTAGATATTGTCTGTGAGGCATGACTTCAACAAAGGTGATTGGTCATGCCATTCCCATCCAACTCAAAGAGGCACCTAACCACCAACGCAGATCGCCTACGTTGGCGATTTACAGCATTACAATGTGAAAAGGAATTCCATGAGTTTCTCCTATCCACGTTGTCAAATGCTTTCTCATAGTCAAGGAAGTTGATGGATAATTACGAGTTTAATTTGGTTTATTTTTCACCAATGGTCAATGTTCCCGCGATTCGGTCCGAGCACGACCGATTATTACGCAATCCATCTTGATGATCTCGAAGCTGTGCGCCTATTGAATCTTTCATTCTGTTGAGCAACACTCTTGAAAACCTTTCCTGGTAACGATTGTAGTGTGATTTCTCTGTAGTTTTCACATTTGCTCATATCTCCTTTCTTTAGTGTCTTGACGAGTTGTTTTTCTTTCCATTTTGTCGGCACTTGTTCTTCCTCTCAAATCTTCCTGAATAGAGTGTGAGGCATATTTCCAATCACTTCTATATCTGACTTTAGTGCTTCGGCTGGTATATTGTCAGGTCCTGCTGCTTTCCCACTCTTAATTCATCTGATGGTCAAATTTATTTCTTATTTTGTGGAAAGGGTATCATCTTCAGGGGGATGCATACTGCCTCAGTGTCAAGTGGATTTAGTAAAACCAGTCTTTTTAAGAGCTCTGAAGTTCTTCGCCCACCTGTTCAACAGTTACCGAATCTCAGTGATTGGTTTGCTTCTTTAGTTTTTGACTAGTCGCTTTAGTTTTCCATATTTGTCTGAAAGCATTTCCTGCCGTTGTTTCGATGTTGTTGCTGGGTATTCCACGTGTTTC